ATACAGATGAAGCAGGAAAACAGCAGTTAGAAAAACAAGTGGAAGGAAAATCTGTTATGTTGAATAGATTGGAAAAATTATTCAAGGATCGTTAATGTTTACAGAGTCATTTCTGTAATGCTGCCAAGGTCAATCAGACCTTGGGTTATCTGCCATCTCAGTTCTAGTTGCATAAATAAACCACCTGTGGGTAGTCTTAACTACACATTTAGCTACACTTTCCTGAAAGTTTTCTAAGTTTTATATTCAATGATTTCTGCTGGGCCCATTCTAGTTCTTTTCTAATTGCCCTTTTGAGGCTTGCACATATTTCCACCTTTGCCCCATCATCCTCTATCATCTTAGGTCTGATCCAAAACCCAATGAAGTCAATGAGGGAATTCTCATGGACTTCAGTAGGCTTTGATCAGGGCCCATATTTCCAAACCTAAAGAGTCCGTGTGTATGAATAGTGATGTTATGCAATAATGGGTAAGCAGTGATCTGCCACTTTTCCATTTAATTATGCAAACACAAACTGTGATCTTTGTCATAGTGGTGCAACTACACTGACTTAACAGAGTTTTGTTGGTGTACTGAAAAGAGAATTTGGCTCCCAAAGAATTTATGCAATGCTTTAATTTAAGGAGAGTTTTAAAATTAGTGTACTTAGCTCCTAACAGAATCACTTTAAGCAGAGATTAAAACTAAATAAACTGTCTCTTTTTAAGTCACTGTTTACTGAATTATAAATCTTGAATCTAAACATACAATGAAAAGAAAGAAAGGACTAACATCTGCCAGATAATCTAGCCACTGAGTCAAAATTATCTGTAAGGAAAGTAATGAAGATTTCCAAAGTAAGAAATAATCTCATTAATTTCAGGGTAAATCTGATGTACAAATAAACATTGAAACAACATTGTCATTAGCCATAAAAATGAAAGGGAGATTCAACCCTCCAAACTATGTCTGTAGAAAATTATCATTTTTATTAAATATTATAAAAAGGTTAAAACCCACAAATTTTACTAACTAATTTTGGAGAGCCGAAGGTCAATTTAGATGTAGAAAGGATTCTTATCACTCACTCCAGTCACATAACCCTCTGACAGCTGCCTTAACTCTGAATAGTCACACCACCACACACAAATGTATCAGCTCAAATCAGAGATTTTAAAGAAAAAGTCTACAAGTGCTCACACTTAAAATCTTGCTGTTTCTACATGTTCTGATGTTTGACAGCTATGAACATGTTATGCCATTTTCTGTTGTACTGAATTTTTCATTGTCATCTTTGAACACCAGATGGCAACATGAAATGCAGTTCATATGTACACTATAATTAAGTTTGATTTCTGTGAAAGAAAAACCTCTGTTTATATGTTTAGTTACTGTATCTATGGGATCAAATCCCAGTCAAGCCAATCCCCCATCACCTCAAATACAAAATTAGACTTATGGAGGATTTTCAAACATCAAAAATAAGTTTATAGAGAGGTATTTTGGAGCTAGAAAGATAGGAAAAAAATAGGGGATACCCTAACACTATTTTCTCCTTTGTCTTTCAGGTCACTGGAGTTAAGGAGATTCTGTTGGAGCAGTTCCCTGACGAGGAAGATGAAATGGGTGTTAAAGCGTGTTAACAAACAAATGAAAACAAAACAAAAATGTGAATATTAAAACTATATATAATTTAGTACATGGAAAGTGGTCTCTAATTAACAACTTCCTTTCACTTGATGATGACTCTTCTCTCTTCTCATTCAGTTTGGCCTCAGTACTGCCTTTTTGGATCAACTCAGCCCACTGGATCTACACAAGTGTCTTAGATTCCGTCCTGTCATAGTTCTGCTCCTACAGTACCTAACTGTTTTTCTTCCATTATCTGGTGGTGCTTCCTCTACTGTACCAAGTTCTTCCTCTTCTTCTATGGAGCTTCTCAAAGTGGATTCATTAATTTGGAAGTATTACAGGTCCACTGACATCTACAGGCAAGACTGTACTATTTATGCATAGCCCATAATAAGGAATGGCCTGCAGCTGCACTGCCCTAAGCATAGCAACAGGAGATAAAATGTTTCCCTCAAGCTCCCAGATGCTCAGAGGCTCCTTGCTCACCACTACATCTTTTTATGTGGCCCATTCTAAAAACCACAGCAGCTGGCAAGCTCTGCTGGCCAGTGTGTGAGATGGAAAAGCCATGGCTTTGCCTTCTCCAGGGCATCTTGTACCTCTAGAAGAATAGGAAAGGAGTAGTCCCTACACTTCCCCCAGCACAGGGACTGGTATTCTACCTGGCCCTTATGAAGGCCTCTCTTCCTCCCAATATGCACCCACATATGGACCTGGCAGAATCTGGGCCCACGGTTACAAAAGAATAAGACTTTTGCCTTTGAATTTTTAATAAATCAAAACCAAACAATTACCATCAGGAATGTCAGCTTGACATGTTTACAAAACAAGACTTATGAGCCAACCCACACTGGACTGCTCCCCTACCCTTTACTTTCTAAGTAGTAAGTTTGTCCTCAAAGTCTCTTCTTTTAGATCTCTTTTGTGCAAACATATTCATCCAATATCTGAAGTCTTTGGAAGAAGTACTGGAACAGGCTAGAAGTAGTTGTGTAGACAAGAATCCATCCCCTTCCCCAAAAAAACGTTGTTTACGATTTGATTTCAACTGTGACATTAAATTGAAAGCCACTAAAATCAACTGAACAACAACTTTTCAGGTTGATATTAAATAATTCTAGCAGTACTATTTTATAATAAAATATTGTTTTGCATTTTGATACTGTATGTAAAACCTTTTTAAAAGAATATTATGACAATTAGACATTGATTTATTTGGTGGCTAAACAGATTTAAATTTGAAATATTAACCTAATTAATGATCCAAAACATTTCTAAGAACTTCACTGAGCTGCCATAATTTCTGTCAGCATATGTAGTACTGAATGACTAATAAAATACCTGAATTGAAACTATTCCAGTCTAGCAGTTTGTATGATCTTGTGTTACCCATAATTCCGACAAAGGCTGAGTTCAAAACAGCAAATTAGTAGATCAGTTATAGGAGCAGAATAGTGAAAAAAACCACTACCAACAAGAACACAATTGACAACACCACTCCACAGGAACTGGAAAGACACAGACAGCAGAGTTAATAAGAGGTTGAAATAGAAAGGGAAGAAAGTAAGGAGCATGCTATAGCACTCGGCATGATCAAGTGTACAGTATATAACAATTACCAGATTTTTTTTCCCCAAACAACCGTTTTAAATGTTCTTTCCTTTTCTATATTTTCCTGTTTATTTACTTGGCAGCTTATGTGTTTCCTTTGTGAGGAATTGAGTCAAATGATTATTTGACTCAAAAGCTGGTTAAGATAGTTCCCATACCAGTTATTGGGGTTTCCAAATTGTTTCTCTCTCTCTCTCTCTCTCTTTGGCATAATACTGAATTTGACGGATCGTAAATCCTACATTCACTTGTCAGAAGCAATCAAAGTTCTTCAACAGATGCTGTTAGAGACATTTTCGTGTGCAAACAGAAACTATTTAATCAGCATATGCATCTACCATCAGTTTTGCTCCTGCTTTCAGGCAGTCTGTTGTCAAATGTTAGTCAGTAAAAAAGAAATGTGCATAGTGCAAGACGTTATTTCAGAAAATATCAGAATATAGTTGATATCTCTCCCATTCCTTCTAAGAATGCTTTTTGCTCTGATGCAGGCTTATAAGTAACACACACAAGTTTTTATAAAAAGAGAACACTGATACTTTATTACACTGTAAAATAATCAAGGATTTATTAGTATCCCGTTTAAGGTAAGTATGTAAAGCCCCAAGCTAACTGCAAGTCAGGGGAGTTGAGGCCATACATAAATAGAGTATATTTATCCTATAATGCATTAAGATATTTCTTTTCATCTTCTAACTATTGCATACATAGGAATAAAACAAAACCTTAGAAGATTACAGGAAGGGAAAAGAAAATGTGTGTATTTAGTCACTTCAAAAAACCCTCAAAAAATAGTTTTCTTTCATTTAGGTCACTCAAGGATTTTGTTTCACATTCTGTTACATTTTATTGAGTCTTAAACCAATAACTTGAAGTTATCTAGACCCATTTGCAGAAATCATAGATAGCGTGGGAAGTCAATGACAGGGAAAAGATTGAATAAAAAAAGAAAAAAAAGACTGATGCTTGAAAAAGATGCATTTGCAAAAATTTTAAAAGCTAATTACTCCTGGCTAGTGAATGCAAAACCACAGTAGATGTTATTTTTCTTTAATCTGCCTCTGTTTCAGGGGCACTGACCAACTCAAATCTTTTATTTTTAGGCATTTTTCCATTTGATTCAGCGAATAATACCAAGATGAAATACTAACGGTCAAGAGCTGCTTAACTCTGATGAAAGAATTAGAGCTTGCAGAATGCATTAGGCGTTGGAGTTTCCAAGGAAAAATTATCTACAGAAAATTACTTTAAGGTTTTTACTTCTTGCAAAATAAAAAGTTGTTTCTATTTATATCACTTAAGAGTCAAAAACACAGGATGAGCTAAACTGCGTGGCCAATCCTTAAAGATTTGAAAAACTGCTGGAAATTAAATAAAGTATAAAGTTAACATGAAGGATTTCATCTGCTTTCATGGCTTCCAAATAAAAAGTTTCACTTCAGAATTGCATCAAAGTTAACACTAAACCTTGGCCAAAAATTAACCCACAGCTTCATAATCCAAAGGCATTAATTCTGGTTCTACATTATTAGGTTCATAGTCCCTTACTGCTTCATTACACCAAAAACATTAAGAAATAATTGCTGAAGAGTTTCTCACTAAAAATCTTTTTCCTGCACGATTAATATTTTTCAAATTCTCATTCTTATCTGGAAAACTACAATGTTGTTTTAGTATATTTTTTTAATAAAAAAACAATACAAAACAAAAACACCCACAGAAATGCAAGGTCACAATGAGACATGACTGAAAAAAGATTTCTTTAGTTAACATACCAGGATTGTGGATGCGGTCCAAAAGCTTCACAGAGCGTGCACTGACAACACCACCAACATGGACAAGGAAGCCAGGCGGAAAGGCCGTCAAGGTAAAAAAGGGAAATTCCTGTTAGGATTAAAAATATAAACAGCAGGTGACCCTCTGTAAAACACTGCAGTCTGCCAATCAACATGCAGTAATTTATTATGCTCCTTGAAATATAGGCAAAGCATTAACACTAGGCAAAACACTTATTTTAAGCTTATTATGCACTGTATCACTTGTATGACATTCAAGTATCCAACACAATGTGGTATCAGCAAAAGTATTCTAAGCAGTAAAATTACTTTTCCCCCATAGATTTGCATTCGGATATGGATATTAATTAACAACCCAAATCCTACTAAAATGTTGACTTTACAAAGCCTATATTAGCTTTTTTTCTTTAAAGGTACAGTAAAAGAATGAAATAAAAATGTTATTTATTTTCTGAAGTGATGAGGCTTAATATTTAACTTACTTATGCCTCTGCACTTTTTAATGCTGGCTGCTACAACTGAGGGTAGTTTGGTATCCAAATTTTGAGTGGAACTGATTTTTGCTCCTGCAAGCACGAAGAGCACATTATTAGATAAAGTGCATCTAACATAAATGCCAGCAAAGATTGGTCTGACAGCACCAATGGCTCTAGATAAAACAAAAATTATTCACGTCTTTAGAATAAAAGTGTTAAAGATTTTGAAGTACAGTTATTAGACCATTCTTTATTAGATTAAGAAATGGTCACTATCACCAATCATTCTAAATTCTTTTCCTTAGACCCATTTTTTTTTTTACTATCTGTAGCAAAAATGAGAAAGCAATACTCCTCTATGTCCAGACCACCTAGTCAAGACAGCCTCTGTGAGAAACAAGGCTGAGGGCTCGACATAGCTTTTCACAATGTATGTGCAGTAAAATAAATTCCTCACATTCAAATGAGATTGGGCCCAAGATGGACAGATTTAATTTTATAAATTATAGACATACATACATACTGAAATATAGCATACTTATGAGGGAAAGAAGGTGGGTTTCCATCTGTCAATTCTAGGCGCAAAAAGGCAAGAAAATAAATGATTCATGCAACAATGGTTATTTTATATAGTTTGTATGGATTAAGTGTAAAAAAAGAATATTATAATTTTATATGAGATTCCCCTTTTCACACATTTTAAAGCGACTGCCTAAATTAAGCATTCCACTCAGATTCTAGTCAACTGACAAAGTGCATCTTAAACAGAGACTATCAAATCTCCTGAGGCAATGAGTGGCATAAAAAAAAAACCCTTTTGTCCAACAGAAGCTAAATGTAAACTTTAAACCCCAATACCCAAGAACTTCTATAATCCTTATTTTATAATGACAGATCCATAGGTTTCAGGGAGTGTAAGGCTTTCCTTTTATTTCAATGGGCTTCCAATCAGTTCCTTTAAAGATTAAGATCCAGCAATACCCCGGAGTCACCCTAGGGTATTGCTGAAGACCAAAAATATTGCATTTCTGTTGTATGGAGGCATTAGAAAGCAGAGAGATTACAAAGAGTGACTCTACAGCTATATACAGCTACTTGTAGACAAATCAGAGGACTGGTCAGGGTACAGACAGTGGGTTTGGAACCTGCCAGGATCCAGTGGATTACAATAGTTTGTGGAGAGAGGAGCCAGGCAGCCACTACTACAACACAGTGTGTGCAGATACTTCAAGGGGGAAGATTCCAGGCCACCAATATCTTTCTAGTGCCCTCACAAATCTCTTTCACTCTGGCTTTACACAAGGATTGGAATGTGAACCTTTGAGAAGTATATTGATATTTATTTTCTTCCATATAATTCCATATCAATCTATATAATATTATCTCTTCATAACTTTATGTTGATAATTGACAGAGTTTTGCTCAGTTAAACTTTACTGGTTTTAAAATCTAATGATGCTAGATAACTAAACTGGCAGAAGAGCTTTTCTATTGAGGAATGGACATGGCATTTTAAAACATTTCTATTTTATATGCATTTTAAACAGTTTTTTAATTAAATTTAGGCCATACTATGTTTAGGTTATATTAATACAGTATACTATAAACACCAAAAGAGATTATTCTTACCCACCACTGAAAAACAAGCAGACCTCAATTATTATGCTTTTATCCATCTGGAAATGTATAAATTACTTCTGTCTTTTTTTACTCCTTTTGATAAAGTTATTTATTAAAGTAATTTTTAGTTTATTTACAGTCTCCTGACATTTCTTCTGCAGGGATAATCCATAACAACATATGATTAAAACAAACTGTAAATCCACTAGTCACTTGTAAATTTAAAAAGAAAAAAACAGGAATATTTTTAGTCAATGTATGTTATTTATGACCCCAGATCATCAAGATACCTAAGCATGTGCTGAAGGGTCTACTCAGGTGCTGCAAATTCTGTACGTGCTTAGGTATCCTGCTGAACTGAGAACTATATCCTGTCAGATTAATTCTAGACACCTAAACAAACCTATGTAACTGTATCCAGGAACCTGCAGTATTCTCAAGTGCTCTTATTTTGCTAAGAGTGATGTTAGATGTTATTTTGCTAAGAGTGATGAACACTGAGGAAGTTTCATCTCATTTGTGAGGTAAACAACTTGGAGTGCCCCTTGCCGATTATTTTATCCATACCACATACTGTATCATCCCCAACTGTATGTATTAGTTTGTATAATACTGCAAAATTTTGAATGTATATTTTTCACTGTACAACCCGGTCAAATATGGATCTCATAGTAACCACTGTTTTATAATATTTCAGTAGTTCTTTCCTCTTCACGCACAGGCTGAGGGTGGCGGAGGTGAGCTGGGGCAAGCAGCGGTTCCCCTGCGCCCCCCCCTCCTTCCGCCGGGGTTATCTGCTGCAGCGCAGGCAGCTGTCCTCGCACCCCCCCGCCCCAGCTCACTTCCACCTCCCTGGGTCTGAGTGCGAAGCCACCGCCTACTTCTCAGCCCGCCCCGGCTTTCCGCGCAAACAGCTGATTCGCGGGAAGCCTGGGGTGGGAGGCGGAGAAGCAGAGAGGGGCGGCGCATTCAGGGGAGGAAATGGAGCGGAGGTGAGCTGGGGCTGGGGGCTGGGGTGGGGCGGGGATCTGCCGGTGAGGGCTCTGCATCCACCAAATTATTCCCTTGAGTGCTCCAGGGCTGGAGCACCCATGGAGTTGGCACCTAAGGCGCCACTTTTGGCCAGCTAAATTTAGAAGCCCTTTTAGAACCGGTTGTCCCTCGCGGAACAACCAGTTCTAAAAGGGCTTCTAAATTTAACAACCGGTTCTAGCGAACCAGTGGGAACCAGCTCCAGCTCACCACTGGCTGTGGTAGCACAGGTAGCAGTAAATCTGCCTGAAACCAGCAGGCATGCATTTTGCACAGAACAGCATAGATACTGGATGAATACTGGCACTGGTTGAAAGTAATACCTGCATCTAGACAGTTACTTTAAAACTGCCACTCCTGGTCAATTTGATGAGCTTGCAATAAGCTCTTCATTCATATTTATGTATCATATACTACTTCTACAATGTCTATAAATGTAAGAGAGTGTGTTTCTAATCATTTAAGTGTGTATGTGTAAGTACTGTGACAGACTCAGACCAGTCAGGTGCAAGAGTCTGGTTGAAGGCAAATATACTGGCCACTGGATGAATAGTTTTCTGTTCCCTGAGTGACCAGAGCAGGGGCTGATCTAGAGCAATCAGGAACTTGCTAGAACCAATTAAGACAGGCAAGCTAATTAAGACACCTGGAGCCAATGAAGAACCTACTAGAATCAGTTATGGCAGGCAGACTAATCAGGACACTTGGTTCAAAAAGGACCTCCATCAGTTGGTGGGCGGTGCACAAGGAGCAAGAAGGCTTGCTACTGGAGGACTGAGTAGTACAAGTGTTATCAGGCTTCAGGAGGAAGGTCCTGTGGTGAGGATAAAGAAGGTATTGGGGAGGCCATGGGGAAGTAGCCCAGGGAGTTGTAGCTGTCACGCAGCTGATACAGGAGACGTTGTAGACAGCTGCTATCCACAGGGCCCTGGACTGGAACCCGGTGTAGAATGGGCCCAGGTTCATCCCCACCCCCGCTCCCTATCGGAGACAGGAGGAGTTGACCTGGTCTGAGACACACACCAGAGGAGAAGATCTGATTTGGAAAGGGATCTGGCCTGTCTCCGACCCAGTAGGTGGGACAACAGAGATTGTTCTCCATTTTCCCCATGCTGGCCAGCGATGATGTTAGCTAAGTGAACGGCAGGTTTGAGCCTCTAGCAAAAGCAGCCAAACTGAGGGCTGCTGTGAACCTCTGAGACGAACAAATCTGCCAGAAAACGCAGGACCCACCAAGGCAGAGAAGGAACTTTGGCACAGTACACAAACAGAAAATACTGAAAATACACTAGGATGACAGTTCTCTAACTGTGCTCCATGGAGACCATCTTATTTGAAAATGAAGCAGTGGTGATAGAGGGTTCAGAGAAGTGATCCACAGAATGAAAAAGTTGCAGAACCATGGCACTGGTCTGAGCTATAATCATTAGGATTGCACAAGTGTAACTGAGAGCAGCATTTAGCTCCCTTTGTTAAAAATGTGGGCTTAATCCTGCACCATTAAAGTCATCTGGAGTTTGTCCACTGAGAAGGATGGCAAGAGGGTCAAGTCTTATATACAAATAGATACAGACACTTGTATAAAAATATGTAAAAAGTATATATATTTGTATATAAATATCTACACAGAGCTGTGTTACAGTTGCAATTACTGTGAATATACATCCTGTCACTAAAAAAAATAAAAATTAATATGTGTATATTGAGAGGATAATACAAGACAGCTGTATATTTTCACAGCAGAATTGCTATCAAGATTATCCCTAAATCAAATTCTTTGTTGTTTTGAAGTTAAGGTTACTTGAGTAAAAAACCCAACAATATGATCCCTAAAAAACAACTGTCATAAATATAAAGGGAAGGGTAAACCCCTTTAAAATCCCTCCTGGCCAGAGGAAAACTCCTCTCACCTGTAAAGGGTTAAGAAGCTAAAGGTAACCTCGCTGGCACCTGACCAAAATGACCAATGAGGAGACAAGATACTTTCAAAAGCTGGGAGGAGGGAGAGAAACAAAGGGTCTGTGGGTCTGTCTTTATGCTGCCTTTGCCGGGGATAGACCAGGAATGGAGACTTAGAACTTTTAGTAAGTAATCTAGCTAGGTATGTGTTAGATTATGATTTCTTTAAATGGCTGAGAAAAGAATTGTGCTGAATAGAATAACTATTTCTGTCTGTGTATCTTTTTGTAACTTAAGGTTTTGCCTAGAGGGGTTCTCTATGTTTTGAATCTAATTACCCTGTAAGGTATGCACCATCCTGATTTTACAGAGGGGATTTCTTTACTTCTATTTCTATTAAAAGTCTTCTTGTAAGAAAACTGAATGCTTTTTCATTGTTCTCAGATCCAAGGGTTTGGGTCTGTGGTCACCTATGCAAATTGGTGAGGCTTTTTATCCAACATTTCCCAGGAAAGGGGGGTGCAAGTGTTGGGAGGATTGTTTAGTGTTCTTAAGATCCAAGGCTCTGGGTCTGTAGTCACCTAGGCAAACTGGTGAGGCTTTTTACCAAACCTTGTCCAGGAAGTGGGGTGCAAGGTTTTGGGAAGTATTTTGGGGGGAAAGACGCGTCCAAACAGCTCTTCCCCAGTAACCAGTATTTGTTTGGTGGTGGTAGCGGCCAATCCAAGGACAAAGGGTGGAATATTTTGTACCTTGGGGAAGTTTTTGACCTAAGCTGGTAAAGATAAGCTTAGGAGGTTTTCATGCAGGTCCCCACATCTGTACCCTAGCGTTCAGAGTGGGGGAGGAACCTTGACAAACACAAATTAGGGTTCCCATATATCCGGGTTTTCCCAGAAATGACCTCTTTTTTGGCCCGCTGATCTCCATCTGAGCAGATTTTTGAAGTAAGAGGAAATGTCCTGGATTTTTCTTTGCAGACCAGATGTTGCAGCTCAGAAAAAGCAGTCTCTGCACCCCAATTGGTCCCTTCCCTTTATCCGCAGTTGCCAGTTCCTGTTCACCCTGCCAGATAAGCGGAGCCGCAAAGAGCCTTTTGACTGGGCCATACTCAGGGCTGGGATGGGAGGGAGGGCTGGGGTTACAGGACTAGGCCCCAGCTCCCCATCCTGGGGAAGAGAAGAGGCCCACAGGGAGGCACTGACTGACACGCCGGCACCATGTCCCAGGCCTGAGCCAGCCATCATGCCACCGAGATAGGGAGCACAACACTGACCCCCACCTCGAGTGTGAGGCCACAGATACCCGCTCTGGATACCCCTTCCCAGTACAAACACCCCTCCAGAACCCCCACAAAATCCCTTCCCAGTACAACCCCCAATACATCTCCAGTACCCCCCAACTGTACCCTTCCTCCAGCAGCGCCTTCTCCCTCTGCCCCCCAGCAGTGTCCTCTATTTGGGAACTTGAAATATGATTACCCTAGTCCAGATAAAGGAACCTTCTTTAAAATACCCTAATACTGAGACAGCATATTAACTAAATTGCACGAAGAGACTCTACTTTTCCACAAGAGACTTTTCTGCACTTCCAACATATAAAGAAACAATGTACGTAGCAAATTTACTGAGACACATTTTTCTAAACGCAATACATTAATGCCATCTTAAGCAACAATCTTATACAAATGTAGGACAATTTATAAGCTCCTGAAATCCTTTCAGCTACAACTTTCCCTCTCTACCTGCCCCTGGTAATTTTTTGATGCTGCAGAAAGATGGGAAATGTGTAGCTAAAGGCATCTCAAACCCAAGGCTCTTGGCAGTAGAATACTATCACAGTTATGATACTCAACTAGTATTCCACATGCTCTGCTCTATCCCTAAAGGTATAACCTTATATAACCCCTTTTTATTAGGACTGTCGATTAATCGCAGTTAACTCACACGATTAACTCAAAAAAATTTATCATGATTAATCGCAGTTTTAGGCTCACTGTTAAACAATAGAATACTGACTGAAATTTATTAAATATTTTGGATGTTTTTCTACATTTTAAAATATGTTGACTTCAACTACAACATAGAATACAACGTATACAGTGCTCACTTATTATTTTTTATTACAAATATTTGCACTGTAAAAATGATCAAATAAATAGTATTTTTCAATTCACCTCATACAAGTACTGTAGTGCAATCTCTTTATCGTGAAAATGCAACTTACAAATGAAGATTTTTTTTTGGTTACATAACTGCACTCAAAAACAAAACAGTGTAAAACTTTAGCGCCTACAAGTCAACTCAGTCCACCATTCCAGAGTACATGCTTCCATGCTGATAATGCATTAATTAAATTGGTGACTAAACTCCTTGGGGGAGAATTTTATGCCTCCTGCTCTGTTTTATCCACATTCTGCCATACATTTCACGTTATGGCAGTCTTAGATGATGACCCAGCACATGTTGTTCATTTTAAGAATATTTTCACTGTAGATTTGACAAAACGCAAGAAGGTACCAATGTTAGATTCCGCAGGATAGATATAGCACTTGACCCAAGGTTTAAGAATCTGAAGTGCCGTCCAAAATCTGAGAGGGACAAGAAGTGGAGAATGCTTTCAGATATCTTAAAAGAGCAACATTCTGATGCGGAAACTACAGAACCCGAACCACCAAAAAAGAAAATCAATCTATGTCCTCTGGAATGGTGGTTGAAGCACGAAAGGACATATGAATCTTTAGCGCATCTGGCACATGAATATATTGTGATGCTGGCCACGACAGTGCCATGCGAATGCCTGTTCTCACTTTCAGATGACACTATAAACAAGAAGCGAGCAGCATTATCTCCTGCAAAGGTAAACAAACTTTTTTGTCTGAGCAATTGGCTGAACAAGAAGTAGGACTGAGTGGACTTGTAGGCTCATTGTTTTGTTTTTGAATGCAGGTTTTTTTGTACATAATACTACATTTGTAAGTTCAACTTTCATGATAAAGAGATTGTACTACAGTACTTGTAATGGGGGAATTGAAAAATACTATTTCTTTTGTTTTTTTACAGTGCAAATATTTGTAATAAATATACAGTGAGCACTGTACATTTTGTATTCTGTGTTGTAACTGAAATCAATATATTTGAAAATGTAGAAAACATCTAAAAATATTTAAATAAATGGTATTCTATTACTGTTTAACAGCATGATTAATAGCGATTCATTTTTTAAATCACTTGACAGCCCTACTTTTTATAACATGATTCTTCTTTAAGTATTATAAAACTATGTGTTATTAAAACAGTATATATAATCAAACAAACTCTCACACTGAAACGCTACAGGTGCCTGGCATTTTCTTGATATTTTAAAATCTGTTTTTTCAGACACTTTTTTTATTGAAATGATAGATCTACAGACAAAGAGTATCACAGATGCTAGCACAAACAAGGGCACACAGGGAAAAACTTTAAGTGTTTATTTTCAAACTGAAGCCTTACAAGCAAAAACTATGTACTTGTATTAAAATATAAATGAAAATTGTTAGTGAAATGTACAATCATGCCAAATATTAGTTAAGCAGAAGTATGTTGGTTTGCTAAATGTTCTTGAAATTAAAACAAAAAATATCAAAACCCCACATCAACAAGATCACAAAGAAATCTGGCAAAACCTTGCAAAAAAGAAAACACGATTTTAAAATGATTGTTCAAAATTAGAGAAGTCCTCAATACAAGAAAAAAAGAGCTCGAAAAAAAAGGTCACACAATATTTTGAAACATACCCGCCTTCGACAGAACCTATGAGGAGATCCTTCCTTAGCAATAGACAACAAAATATGAAAAGACAATCATCCACTACTCATATAAGTAGCTATTCATTAAAAAAAGTATATTTCACAACAATTTCTGTTTTTGACTGGACATACATTTGACTTCACGTATGTAATTCAGCTAAATCAAAGCCCTTATTAAATGAATAGTGGTCTCCATTCTCTATTCCTCATGAGATCTTCTGGATTGTGACCTTGTCTACGTTAGATCTTACTTTTTTTAATATAACTTACATTGCTCAGGGGTGTGAATAATCCACACCCCTGAGCAACATAAATTATACTGACATAAGCGCCAGTGTAGACAATGTTATAGCTACCATATCTGATGGGAAGTGGAATAATTAAGCTGATGAGAAAGCTCTCTCCCTTTGGCTTAGAGCATCTTTACCACAGCTGCGCCACTGTAGCGCTTCTAGTGTAGATGTAGCCAGTGTTAAATTATAAAATATGTTTTGAAAATTGCAATATAATACATGGGATAATATAAAATAGATTTATTTATATATAGATAAATAAATCTAACAGTTAAATACACACACCTGGGTTTTTTTACCATGCATTTCTACAATTTTCAGAGTTAAAAAAAACCAACAACAACAACACAACAGTGACTGACCTTCCGTAACTGTTGTTCTTCAAGATGTGTTGCTCATGTCCATTCCAATGTAGGTGTGTACTTGCCCCAAGCACCGCCACCAGAAAGCTTTTCCCTCAGTGATATCCATCAAGTCAGCTCTGGTGCGCCCTGGACTTGTGCATTCACAGCACTGGTATAAAGGGTCCCACTGAGCTGTAGGTCTCTCAGTTCCTTCTTTCTGGCTAACTCTGACAGAGGGGTAGGTGCAGGAGTTTTGGAATGGACATGAGCAACACATCTCAAAGAGCAATAGTTATGGAAGGTTAGTAATCCCTTTTTCTTCTTCGAGTGCTTGCTCATGTTCATTCCAATATAGGTGACTCCCAAGCAGTTGTGCAAATGAGGGTTCAGAGTTTACTGGCATGCTGATTATAGTACTAGCATCATCTCTAGCCTGTTGGGTGATGGCGTAGTGAGACACAAAAGTGTGAACCGACAACCACGTTACTGCTCTACAAGTGTCATGGATGGGAACTTGTGCCATGAATGCTTCCGATGATGCTTTGACTCTTGTGGAATGTGCCATCTGGGCAGGTATCTTTGCCAGGTCACTGCACGTGCGGATACAGGAAGTGACCTATGATGAAATTCTTTGGGCTGAGACTGGCTTTCATCCTGTCTGCAATGGCCACGAATAGTTGAGTGGATTTCCAACATGATTTAGTCCTTTCTATGAATAAGGCTAATGCACGTCTGATGTCCAGAGAGTGGAGCCTCTGTTCACACGTGGTTTCGGATAGAAGACCAGTAGGAAGATATCCTGGTTACTATGGAATTGTGAAACCACCTTTGGAAAAAAAGCCAGATGTGGATGCAATTGGACCTTGTCCTTGAAGGATACCGTGTAAGGTGGTTCTGAAATGAGGGCTCGAATCCCCGAGATCCTTTTGGCAGAAGTAATGGCTACCAAGAAGGTCACCTTCTAGGAAAGGTAGAGCAGAGAGCACATTGCCAGCAGCTCATATGGGGATCCTGTCAGTCTTGACAATTCCAGGTTGAGACCCCAGGGAGGGACTATTTGCTGTACCCGGGGGTATAATCTCTCCAGGCCCTTAAAAAAAATAGACTACAGATGGAGTTTGAGAACACAGAACAGCCATTCGGCCATGGGTAAAAAGCCAAGATTGCGGCCAAATGGACCCTAGTAGATGACACAGTTAGTCCTCGTTTCAGGTGGAGTAAGTAATCTAGAATAAATGATAGTGCTGATTGCATAGGTGAGACACCCTTCTGCATATACCAGATCGAGAACCTTTTCCACTTTGCCAGGAAAGCAGCTTTAGTGGACGGTTTTCTGTTCCCTAGAAGTAGCTCACAAACCGGCCTGAGCATGCTAGCTCTGCGGGGTTCAGCCATGGAGCTTCTAGGCCAAGAGACGGAGGGACTCGAGATTCGGGTGAAGCAGGCAGCCATGGTCCTGGAAGATTAGGGCAGGAAACAGAGGTAAACAGATTGGTGTTTCCACTGAAAGGTCTAGGAGCATGATAAACCAATGCTGGTGGGGCTAGGCAGGGGCTATCAGGATGACTCCCGCTTTGCCCCTTCTAATCCTCATCAAGGCCTTGTGTATGAGAGGAATGGGAGGAAATGTGTAGAAGAGATGACCCGTCCAAGGGAGGAGGAAGCATCTTTTGAGAGACCTGGAGCTGTGACTCAGTAAGGAGTAGAACTGGACACATTTCCTGTTGTGTTTAGCCACAAACAGCTCTATCTGGGGAGTTCCCCACTTCTGGAAAGCAGCTTTCACAACACCTGGGTGAATGGATCATATGTGGTGGTTGGAGAAGTATCTACTAAGGTGATCTGCTAGCTCATTCTGTGATTCTGGCAGATCAGAGGCCCCAATGGGGATTGAGTGGGCTATGAAGAAGTGTTTCCTGGCACAGGTGAAAGGAGTATGCTCCTCTTTGCCTGTTGATATAAAACATTGCTGTTGTGTTGTCTGTGAGAACTGACACACACTTGCCCGCCACATGGGGCTGGAATGCCTGGCAGGCCAGGCAAACTGCCCTGAGCTCCCTGACATTGATGTGTAGCACGAGCTCTTCCGGAGACTAGAGGCCCGGAGTTCTGAGGGATCCCAAGTGAGCGCCCCAGCCCGATGCTGAACTATTTGTGACGAGAGACACTGATGATTGGGCTCTTGAAAATGGGACTTCTGCACATGCTGCCAGCAGGTCTACCCACCAATGGAGGGAGGCAATCACGAATGAAGGAACTGCGATGACTGTATCTAAATGGTGTCAGCTCAGTGAATATACAGATGACAGCCATGCCTGGAGAGATCTGAGCCAAAGTCTCGCGTGCTGCATCACATAGGTGCATGATGCCATGTGGCCCAGGAGCTTCAAGCAGATTCTGGCTGTGGTGATGGGGAGATTTCTAAGACTCTCTGTAAGCATCCCTATTGCTTACCATCGTGCTTCCAGGAGGAAGGTTCTGGCTTGGACCGACTCAAGAACCGCCCCAATAAACTCTATGCTTTGAACTGGGAGAGAGTAGACTTCTGCACATTTATTAGCAGACCTAAGTCCTGGAATGTTGACTGTATTAACTTTACATTGGGCTCCACTTGGATCTTGGTATGAACCTGTGACCAGCCAGTCATCGTGGAAAGGGTAGACCTGGACACCTTGTCTCCTCAGGAAAGCTGCAACAACTGCCATGCACTTCGTGAACACCCAAGGTACGTCTGACAGGCCGAATGGGAGGACTGCAACTGGTAGTGCACGTGATTCTCAATGAACTTGAAGAAACTTCTGTGTCTCTGAAAGACTGAGATATGAAAGTAAGTGTCCTTCAAATCAAGGGTAGTGTACCAGTCCCCTGGATCCAGGGAGGGGATGATGCAAGCCAAAGAGACCCTCTGGAACTTTAGCTTCTTCATGAATATGTTGAGTTTTCACAGGTCCAGAATTGGTCCGAGACTGCCCCTGACATTTAGAATTAGGAAATAAGGGGTCAGGGATTCTACTTCCGTTAACTCTGGTGGAACCTCTTCCACGGCTCCCACCCTTAGGAGCAACTGCACCTCCTTGGGCTAGAAGTTGCTTGTGAGAAGGTTCCCTGAAGAGGGACGGGGGGCGGGAGGGAGCACACAACTGAACTGAAGAGTGTACTCCACTGCTAACGTGCGTAGCACCCAGCACTCTGCCCATATGCTCAGGGTTTAGTTGATGGCCATATTTGGGGTTGGGAAGGAATTTTCCTCCAGGGCAGATTGGAAGAGGCCCTGCAGGTTTTTCGCCTTCCTCTGTGGCATGGGTCACTTGTTGGAGGATTCTCTGCTCCTTGAAGTCTTTAAACCACGATTTGAGGACTTCAATAGCTCAGACATAGGCGAGAGGTTTTTTGCAGGAATGGGTGGATGAGATTCTGTGGCCTGCATTGTGCAGGAGGTCAGACTAGATGATCATAATGGTCTCTTCTGACCTTAATATCTATGAATCTGAGGCAATACAGGCCCATGCCTGACAAAAATGGGATAAACAGTCCACAAAAACTGGGGAAGTTGGATTCAAGTTCTGTCCTGATAGGTCTTCCCCGTGCATCCCATCAAAAGGTCTGCTTAGACCCCCCAGACTGTCTGCAGGAGGCAGGCGCAGGACAGGATTGCGGCAGAGGTCTACTCCTAAAGCCCCTGCTTTTCCTCCTATTGTGATCTTGCCAGGCAGGTGGCGGGAAGAATCAACTGGCCAGCTGAGGCTTATAATGTTTCCTTGAGGGTGCCAGTGTATAAAGCCTTCGGGACGTCAGGGTGGACCTTGAGGCCTTTAGGCTGTGCACCTTGGAATCTGTCTGCTCAGAAAAGTGATGTACCCTCAAAAGGAAGGTCCTGCAATGTCTGTTGAGCCCCATAAGGTGGGCCGAAGGATTGAAGCCAAGAGCTTCTATGCATTGCCACTGCTGAGGCCATGGATCGGGCTGCAGAGTCCGCTGCATCCACAGCTGCCTGCAGGGTCACCTTTGCCATAGATTTGCCTTCCTCCACAACAGCTGCAAATTTTCACCTGACAGTAACTACTTAAATTTCAGCATTGAGTCCCAGAAGTTAAAATCATACCTGCTCAGGAGCGCTTGCTTATTTGTGGTCCTGAGCTGGAGGCTACCTGTTGAATAGACCTTTCTGCTGAAGAGATCTAATTTTTTTGGTGTCCTTGGCCTTGGGGGTTGACCCCTGCTGACTGTCATTTCCGCTCACTGGCTGCTGAAACAACCAAAGAGCCCAGTGGTGGGTGTGTATAAAGAAATTCATACCCATTATCCGGGACAAAGTATTTCTTTTAAGTTTTCTTTGCTGCCGACTGAGGGTGATGAGGGGATGCTGTGGTCCGCCACAATGCCTTGATGGGTCCCTAATAGCATCGTTCAGGGGCAATGCCACTCATGAAGGGCCTATTGTACTAGAATATCTACCAGGGCATGGGAGGATTCCCTGATCTCCTCTACTTGGATCCTCAGGTTTTGAGCCACTCTTTTGAGGAGCTCCTGATGAGTCTTGTAGTCTACCTGGGAGGGCACTATGTCTTCTCCCACGAGAGCCTCATTTGGAAAGGAGGACGACGTCTGTACAGATAGAGGACACTGTTCTTCACCCTCGGCACCAGATGTGTCTTGCAGTGCTGGGTCTTGATATTCAGCACCTGGATTTTGCTCAAAGTAGAAAAGTACAGGCACTCTTGACTGACGCCACGGTGTATGACCTTCTGGAATGTGACCCTTGCATCAGAGAGAAAGCCAAGGGGGTTCCAGAAAGGACACTGTCCGACCATCTGCCACTGTCCCCGTGGCAAGCTGTGGGTAGGAATCCTTGACTCGGGTCTATGGCCGGACAATGCCGGCTGTAGTGACAGCCAGCTCCTGAGAGAAACATATGACTCCGCCTCCGAGTCTGTCTCTGAAGATTCCTTTACCAGAGACCAAGGTGGAATGGTGCCAACCAGTGCCGGGAAGGAGGTGACTGGTGCTGGACCATCATGGCCAGATTCCCTTTTGAAAGCACCTGAGACCTCTGTTCTGCAGAGGTCCTCCCCGCTAGTGCCACCATTGACCGTTCCCATATGGCTGGGGATGGCAGTAGCAATAGAGAGAGTAAATCTCTCGCTGCCGCAAATGACTCTGGCGTTGACAATACTGCCAGGGCAGTGGAACTCTGGTGGCTCTCTTGCAGTGGAGAGTCCATCAGTGCAAGACTCAATGGTACCCATTCCAGGGCCGGAGTCAATGGCACCACAAGGATTGCTGGAGCCGCAGAGTGGCCTGATGTGGGTCACACCGTACTAGTATGTCTCTGCCCCACCAACCTCAGGGTTGGGGAACGACCTCTATCAGTCTTTTTCTGCTTCTTTCCTGGCACCGGTGATGGAGAGCAGTGCTGAGGTTCCCCTGACAAACCACTTTTCTTCAGCACTCGGGATGATGGATGGTGCCATGTCTCCCACGAAGCAGAAGGAGTGTCTTTCTTCAGTGCAAGTGATGAGTCTCCTGAAGAGTAGAGGGGGTGCTCTTACTGAGGCTGAAGTACTTGGTGCTGAGTCTGAGTGACCCAGCTCCAAGAGAGGTCGTAGTGCTGCTTTCAGGAGGATAAATCTGAGCCTGATGTCTCTATCTTTTTCGGTGTGGGGCCTGAAGTCTTTGCAGATCTTACAGCACTCCCATACATGAGCTTTCCCCAGGCACTTAAGGCAGATGGAATGGGGGTCATTCACAAGTATAGGCTTGTGGCAACAAGCACAAGGCTTAAACCTCAGAGACCGAGGCATGCCCTGGTGCTGGGAAGGGATTAACTCCACTGAGACGGGTTCTGTTAACCTAATCATTTATCTAAAAACTGAAATTTAACTACTAAGAATAAAGATAACAATTTACAATGAGGTTAGAAAGTCCACTGAAGGAGTACTTCCAGAGTGCAAGGACAAGCCAATTTCAGCAACCATCGCGGGCGGTAAGAAGGAAATGAGGGGACTTCTGGTTGGCGGGACCCTTTATAAAAGCGCTATGAGCATGTGACTCCAGGGGGCACCAGAGCCAACCCGATGGATACCACTGAGGAACAACTTTCCGGAGGCGGCGCTTGGGGAAACCACATACCTACATTGGCATGGACCTGAGCGAACACTCGAAGAAGAAACATAAATTTAATTGAACGCACAGTGCTGCCGAACACTGTAGAAGGTTATTTTTAATCCAATACTCCTTAATAGTGATTTTAATGGCAATGCTTTATAGTTTGGGATTATAAAAGATAACCAAAATATAAAACCCATTCATATAATACAGTATGGGTTAAGTCATGCTACCACTTCCGTTTTTATCTATAAATTCAGTAAGCCTCCTCTTCAGCATCTTTAAATCTGGCCCAATATTTCTGAATAAATCAACTTTGTCTTTTGCCAAAATTCAATTAAGTATAAAGCTATTACAGCAATAAAATGACAGCTGCATCAATAATTATGCATTTAAACAAACACTCAATTCTCTTTTATCACTGTGTCTTATAACAATAACTACAGCATTTCATTATTAGGAAGATTAGAATTATTTGTTTCAGTTTTTTCATGTTGTTTCTGTAATATATTTAATATTACAATCAGTATAATTTGTCTATAAAAAGGGGCTAGTAAACAATATGTTTAACAGGTTTATTAAGTTTGGCGGGTACAAAATAAGAAAAATATTTACAAAATAATTCTGTCAAAAGGAAATATTTACCTTTATTAAAAGTTAAATTTCCACTAGGATTATATTAGAAATATAAGTGTAAAATATGATCATGTATTCCTTACCCTTTGCTCCAGAGCTGTCTGTGTCTGCTGTCTTAATAGAGCTTTAAATGGTCCCCCTTCTTTTCCAGCACTCCCACTGCCCATTCCTAAAGAATATCAGCACATAAATAACATCCAGAGAAAGAAGTTACAGACTGTATTTATTAGTCACACATTTTTTTAAAAACTATATTTCAAAGTATAGTTAGAAGTTTCTGAAAGTTTATTTTTTTACCAGTCAGGTACATTGAAGACTAAGGATCTTACCACATTTATACTGTATTTCCCTTTAGTGCCAATGTAAAGGGGCATTAGGGTGAACATAAATTGCACTTTAAGTCCCTTTATACAGTCAGAGTGGTGTACAGGTCCTTAGTGTAAATGAGAATAAGGCCCTAGAGTATTGAACTTGCAGCTTTTAGTTCTACAGTATGGCTTGATCTTTTCCCCATGGATGTAAGGGTATTTTTGCTATCAATTTCAATAGGCACAGTATCAGATCCGTAATCCTTATTTTCACAAGCACTCCGGTTACAGTCAAAGTTTCAATTTACATCAGTGAGTACTGCAGGATCAGTCCTAATTCAAAAGTGCTAAACTAGAAGTAATCCTACTAGTGCAATTTTCCAAGATGTCTGCTATAAAGCCAATAATGGACTCTGTGTCCAGGAATTATTTACAGTAGCAGTTAAAAAAGATTCCATGTCCTAAGGTTCATACAGTTTCAGAGTATCTCAATCATTTTTCCTCATGAGTTGGGGCTCAAAGCTCCAGTTTCCACATGTACACCACTCCTACTGAAGTCACTATAAGATCTAGCCCAAAGAGAAAACTGTAAGGGCAAGCATATAACAAATGTGCATCTTTTAATTTAACTTTTAACTCTGAAAAAAATACTGTAACTTAGAATTGAAGGACAGTCTAATTTAACATTTATGTAGAGTACATTCACTCATCTGAATCATTCAGATCAGCCATGGACTACTGCTGAGCATTCTAAACTGCCAAATTTATCTGTGATTTGCTTGCTAAAAGACATTTGTTGCTTCACAGTTACTAAATCCAGGAAGAAAACATATTCCAAGGCTGTGTTTTTCCTAAAATGATCACAATTTTGGTGAATCAGATTTACCTAGTGGCATTTCATACCTAAGAACATACTTCACTGATATTTCTTATAGTCAGATCTGCCTACATGCCTCAGAGCTAAATCGATAGTTATTTGGTTTCAGTGTAACAGCAGTTATACCCTTCAATACTCTCAAAGATATTAGTGAAAACACTAAGAAAAATGAAGGATGAAACTAAAAAAAAGCATCAAGAACAAGATGAATGAAGTTATGATTAAAGGGAATATTTTTAAAGTTACCTTAAGTGCTATTTTAAAACAGACAATACATTGCTACTTTCCCTGTCTCTTTTCTTCTGCTAAAAAATCCAGTAACAATAAAGAAGGAAAGATATTTTTCCATGTAAATGTGTGAGGGCTTTTTGTTTTAAACAAATTCAGGGACTGTTGCTGTTGGCACTTCGTGTACTCACTCATTTCAAAATTGACAAATGCTATCATAATGTCTAAAATGTTATTTATATACAGGAAATGAAATATTTTTAGCTGTTCTTGGATAAGGAAACAAAGATTAGCATCTGTATAGTCCCATTAACAAAATTAAGTTATTTTATGTTATTTTGCAGTAGACCTAAATAGCCTTTTCAAGGGACTATACAATACTAAAAACAGACTGACATGAAATGAAGAATATTTACTGAGATGAAACACATTCTTAAAAAAAAACAACACACAAAATAATCAAAACACTATCTGTAGAAAATAAACTGTGATTTCTAGTATTTAATTTAACAGGACAATCTAGTGATCTCTGTCAACGAAACATAAAAAGGAGAAAGTACAAATACAAAGTTTATGTACAGTCAGAATGAAACAAAACAATTTAAACAGTACAATAAACTAATATGGTTGCTAGCCACATGATGGTCAGATTTCAACAGAAGAATATGAATGAGTTGGTAAGGAAGATGGAGTGCTTGTTCCATCTAAAATACAGGAACATTATTATAATGAAGAGAATGAAAAGAATATCAGTATTCAGTAGTTGTCTAATGGTAGCAAGTCCAATTACCAATATTTAGTGGAGACTTTTTTGGAAAAGGAAAGAATATAAAAGTATATATAAAATATTATATATATATATATATATATATATATATCTTCAATATAAAAGTAGGCTATTTGTTTTAAATATTGATAAATTTAAGGAAGAGGCTCTACAAATTATTGCAAGCCTCCAGGGGGAAAAAATTATCCTGTAATAGTCATGTAGCCAGCAGTTTTCAGAGACTATTTTAGCAAAAAGTTATAGAAGGCTAGGCATTAAATGCCCCCTAACTGATTAACAACAACATTCCATTTATTTCTTAAAAGGCAATTTAAAAAAGATGATTATAGATTGATCCTACCAGAAGCAGCCAGAAGCAGCTCTTCAGTGAAAGAAACACTTTTCCTCAGAACAAATGGGCTGACATGGCTAGAGTGAAGAGGGTTAAGGCTAGACCCCGGGAGGAGGAGACAGGACTTGTTAAGATGTGGGGAACCACAAGACAGAGTAGGGGAGCTAGGAAACAGGAAAATCCTAGGCCCCTGTGGGGAAGGTGCTGTGGAGGAAAGTAGTAGAGAGAAAAGATGTAGATTCAGAAGATGACTAAAGAAATAGGAGGAGGAAAGCAAAATGAAGCAAAAACAAAACAGACTTTTTTTCAAATGAACAGATATATACTGCTAACATATGAAAAAGCTATTACCAGCATACAAAGAAATGAAATGACAATATAGCAACAGCGTGGAGTAGAAGCACGTTATCAAAAATCTGAGTATTAACTTTGTTTTAAAATGTATTTAGTTTTATTAAAGAGCCAAAGTAATTGAATATTTATTTCAAATTTCAATTAAATTTTACACAAAGATTTAAAGTGAATACTTCTTAATAAAATCTATTCAAAACAGCCTTCCAACATGCCTAAGGAAAACTGATATTGTAACAAGTTCTCTTCTCCAAAAGTGAATTTAAGTTGACCATTATCCAGAAACCTAAACATTTAATTTTTAAAGTCTTAAATCTTATAATGGTGTGTGTGTGTATATACATATTTATTTCCCACATAAAAGAGGAGTGCCCATCTTCTCAATTTCCTCCACATGTATATTAATTCTTCTTTCTCTCCTACCCCAAACTTATTAAAATATATAATACATGTTACATATGTAATATGCAACTACTTTAGCCAGATACTTCTCTTAGTTTACAATTACATAAAAAGTAGCACTACTCACAGCAGGAAGTCTCCAATTCCAAATCAGAATTAACTTTCTCAGTGCATTTTGAAACTCCTCCTCTCACCTTTTACTACAGAGAATTTGATACAGCCCATTCTACTCTGTATCATCACATTCTACTTTATAAAAGAAATGGTGGTAATAATCTTTCTTCCAACAGTTCCAACCCAGAAGACTAACAAGCAAATCCAAGTTTCTCTCTCTCTTTATATCATGGTATAAATACCTAAAATTGTGGTATATATGTTTCTTATGAAAGTTAAACAAAGTCTTAATTTGAAGTCAACATATTGACATTGCTTCCTCAGTCATACTCTATTCCTCTTCCTTCCTCAGACAGCTTAAAAAAAAAAATCCCAATTTTCCCTTCTTCAGATGGCTTGAGTAGTTTACACCTTGAATTTCAGATCTTTTTATATTTGCCAAACCATGAATCAGATCGTCATATACTAGAATAAAGAGCTTTGACACTATGATACCCTCTACTAAGCAAAACACCCAAAAAAAATCGAGACAAGTCCAAACATAACTTTACTAAAATAATCTGTAAGAACAGTTTTCATTAAATAAAACTAGAGCCATATCATCACAGCCATACTACACTTACTTCACTAAAGAGGGATCAAACTTATTTTATAAGGCAGTAAAAGAAAAACTAAACCAAGTTAGTCTAAGTCTCAATTTGTTTTAAAAAAAAAAATAGTATCCTTTATAGGGACAAAGCTTTAATCAGAGGTGGTTGAGCCAAGAATCCTGTAACAGTTTGTGTCCTAAGTATGGGTTGTATTGAGTTGTTAATTTAGATTATAGAACCTTGAGAAAATGCTAGTGCCATCCGTGAAAACAGTGCTATCTTTTTTATTTTAAAATACCACAAACATGTTTGGTAAAGTCTGTTTAGAACTGCCACCTGCACGAAGAAAATATTTAACATAATTTATATCATTCAATAGTATTCCCTCTCTGTTGAAGACAAATTCTTATCAAAATTAAGGATATTTAAAGATCTAACTATAAAGTGACTATTATGCTTTCCTCCCAGAACAACTACAGTTGAAGAGTCACAAGTCAAGGTGAAACGTGACTCTTAAACATATTATATATTATGTTGTTAAGTGATTACTTTTTCAAAATTCTATGTGTGCGTATAATTTTTAGACATAACAAGCAAGCCTTCTCATTGAGACACATTTTGGCAACAGAGAGTTGAACATATTGCCAAAAGATAGCAGCTACATGATACTGCAAATAAAAGAATGACTGGGGTCACCAAATTAAATTAATAAGCAGCAGGTTTAAAACAAACAAAAAAGTATTTTTTCACGCAACGCACAGTCAGTCTGTGGAACTCTTTGCCAGAGGATGTTATGAAGGCCAACAGTTCTTCAAAAAAGAACTAGATAAGTTCATGAAGAATAGGTCCATCAATGGTTATTAGCCAGGATGGGCAGGGATGGTGTCCCTAGCCTCTGTTTGCCAGAAGCTGGGAATGGGCGACATGGGATGCATCACTTGACGATTACCTATTCTGTTCATTCCCTCTGGGGCACCTGGCATTGGCCACTATTGGAAGACAGGATACTGGGCTAGATGGACCTTTGGTCTGACCCAGTATGGCCATTCTTACGACTGTTATTAGCTTAAATTTAAAAACAAAAAACTGAAGCTGATGAAGATGGCAGAGCTTCCTTAACGTACTAGAAAATTCCTCACCACAAAGGCCCCTATCTCGCAATCTGATCCACACAGATGCACTCTTACGTCCACATAGAGCCCACTGTTTTCAATGGGGCTCTGTGTAGGTGCAAACAGTCCATCCATCCAGATCATGTTGCAGGATCAGAATCTAATGTAGCTACTGCAGAAATGTCTCAATTTCACTGCAGACTACTATCACCCTCCTGTGTCTTTGGCATGTCTACTAAGGCCATGTCTACACTACCCGCCGGATCGGTGGGTCATGATCGATCTATCGGGGATCAATTTATCGTGTCTAGTGTAGACGCGATAAATCGATCCCCAATCGCTCTGCTATCGACTCCGGAACTCCACCAGAGCGAGAGGCGGGAGCGGAGTCGACGGGGGAGCGGCGGCCGTTGATCCCGCGCTGCGAGGATGCGAAGTGATTCTAAGTCGATCTAAGATACGTCGACTTCAGCTACGCCATTCTCATAGCTGAAGTTGCGTATCTTAGATCGATCCCCCTCGCAGTGTAGACCAGCCCTAAGATGGCCACCTATCCTGGAACTTAATCAGATAACACGTATGTTTTCCAATAATCATCAGGAATTTAATAATACAAATGTATGAATTTGTGGGGTGGTGTCTCTTAAAAATAAATATTGGCCTGTTTGTTTTTTAAAAACACTTGCTCTCAGTTTCTTTAAAAACATAAATGCTCAGCATAGGTTGTCCATAAGACATAATCACTATTTTTACACAAAAGATAAAGAAAAGGCCAAAAAGGTAACCCCCTCAGCCCCCCCAAAAAAAGAAGAGGGAGAATTACAATTTGATAATTTATTTTAGGCTTTTGGATTGAGTTTGCAAAATTTACTCTTGAGAATCTACAACCTATTTCCATGTGTAAATTTTGAATCTGAAGTACTCCTGAGACACCGGTCAAGTACAATAACTGAGTCAAAAAATGTAACATACCTTAAAACTGTCATGATTAGGGAGATGGGAACGTTCTCAGATTCAAATACTACTTTTAAACATATTTAGAACCAACATTTAAAACAGCAGCCACGCTTTTATACATGGGCCGATAGTATTTTTGTTCTGTTATAGCAGAGCAAAACAATTAAAGGAGAAGAGTTCAAAACTCCCAGGACTGTACTGAAATAACGACTGATACAGAGAAGGAAGTAAACAAGGCAGAGCCACGTTTCTTGTGCTCCATAAGAAATTGAGGGGGTGGAGGGAGAAATCAGCATTCAATTAAATTGTGAAAAGCCAGTTGAGAAAAATATTTAAGCTTTTAAAAATGTGTTCAATAGCCTTTAAAACTATTTTTAAAAAATTACACGACAGCATATACTTGATTTACCACAGCCACTTCCATAACCCTGAAGAAGTTCAGTAGACACCAGCAATTACATTTCTAGAATCAATTTGCAAACAGACAAGTGGAATCTACACAAAAATATGGATGCATTTTCAGCAGAGAAGACTAGGCTTAGAAAAATCACATATTAGTAAGACTTGATCACTCATTTCCCCCATCATATTATGGTGAAAATGTACCCCCATAATTTATCATCTGAAGTGGAGGAAATTAAAAGAAAAAGACAATTCCTTAGGACTCTCTTTATAACATTTTGAGATGCTTCTAAATGGCTGTACTAGAAAAGCTACTCTTAAACTGCCTATATGGTATGGTTATAACGCTTTGGAAAACAAAGTACAGTAAATCAGCGCACTACAAAATGCTTTCATTCTTTAATTGCATTATTTGAAATATCCAATTTCCACATCATTTTGATAACTTACATGCCAAAAAGGAAAGAGGGTTTGAATGAAAAGATAAAACAAATACAAATTAACAAAAAAAATAAGAGTGGGTGGAAGCGCCTTACCAGTTTTGGGTGTCAAACTCAAATCTGTGTCAGAAGAAGAGGACTGTCGACTGTAGGACTTGGAAGGTGAAAAGGAATAGGTTTGGTTTTTCAGAGGGGTGGAGGGTCCTGATGAATGAGTATTGGGATTGGGATCTTCATTGAAAGGAATCCTGCCAGAAGAAGGTGGAAACATATTCAGTAATCCTGTGCCAAAGGACCTGGCTGACAGCAGCATGATCCGAACACCAGGATGGGGTTGGGGAAGGGCCAGCAGTTATTCCTTAAGTGTGTTGCTGGGGATGAGGCCAAAGGCAAAGAAATGATGTTTACTCACTCAGCATTCTACAGATAGATGCTGATTATCGGCACTGGAACAGTTAAGCCAAATAAAAGGCATGAAATGTCAGACCAAGAAAAAAAAAAGTATATATGCAAAAGAAAACAAAACTCAAAATACATGGCTTTAAACAAAATTGTTCAACTACACAATGCTTGCTGAGTTAGATTATTAAAAAAAATGATCTCAAACTATATTTGTGTGTGTGTATATACACACACACACACGTATATTTATGTATACACACACATATTTTAAGAAAAAAATGTTTCCTTATCCTATAGCATCAGCAGTGTGCCCACAGCTAAAAACAAAGCAAAGAGAAAAACCTTAAGGAATACAACTGTATTGACAAACATGTCAGTTATGTGCAGATTGCCTTACCTGTTCTCCAGTACTGTCTTTTCCACAAAGCGACACAAACCCTTCCTAACGCTTTAAAAATTGAGGTAACATTTGAATTACACTTGAAAGCAATTTGAAGCCCAATCATGGTTTCCTATTATGACTAGTAAGAAAGACTTGTAAACTGTACCTGGTGGATGTTACTAAACTCAGATGTAGGATTTTTGGGGGGTTGTTTGTTTTTTTTTAAAGGTAATCTCAAGTTGTTAAAGGAAATGAAAAGTATAGCTCTGTGGAAGAGACTTTGAGGGAACACACACTCTTCCAAGTAACTATTGAGTTTGTTTCAGCAGCTGAACACAGCAGTAATTCTCCACTGACAGCAGAAGGACTCCCAGTGAGAAAAAGAGGGAGAAAAGATGGGTGGTACCTGCCTACACTGCCTGCCTGCCTGCACTTTGCGACCACTGTGCCTGTGGCCTGCCTCTCCCCAGCTCCTGAGTCTGAGTAGTCTCGTACCAGTGTAGATGAGAGTGGGAACAGACAGAGAGAAGTTCTGGGTAAGTCGTGAGCCAGAAGCAGTGTGAATTGGGCTGTTGTGAGTCGAGCGGCATCCATGGCTTGGCGGATGAACCAGCGGAGACCTGAGAGAATTTGCAGCCAAAGTGGAAGAAAAGAAAACAATACATACAACAGATTGCAAAGTTATGTTAAAAATGATTTCAGGGAGTGCTAGTTAGCGGAGATCTCTTATTCTTTAAGCAGACTCTAAGAGTTATAATTCCTAGCATGCAAGAGTCAAGACAAAATCAAAAAGAGCAGGGGAACAGCGAAGTATTAACTTGTTAATATATTATTGAATCTTTGGCATTAAAGGCTAAGGTTAATAAAGATAATAACAAGACGTGAGTAGAACCTGCTGGTGTTGAAACCCACTCACACTTCTGGGCAGGACCACATAGATTGATTAAAACAACCTTCTCAAAATCCAGCATACAAGTTGCTAAACAACCTTGCATATACACGGGTTAAGATAATGTTTTTTGTCGTTTGTTCAAGATTGAATGCTACAAATATATGGGTGATGTTTAAATTGCTAGCTACTGCAGCCAGTGTGTAGTTTTTTAATTGCTTGTGGTTTTTATGTTGTTAATATGCCCAGAAGCTCTGTGGTAATGGTTGCATGTTTCACAAGTCAATACAAATTAAATTAATAATTCTAAATAAGACCAATAACTGGACTCCACTGCTGGGGAAGTTGTACAGTGGTATTGCTGCTGCCTTATACAAAGTGCTCTGATTGCATTATAATAATTATAAGACTACAATAATCTTAGTTATTGTATCATTAAAAGAAAATGACCTAATTCAAACAATATATATCTGGACATGTTACACAGAAGTATAGTTTTTGTACTCTATTTTTCGTCTAGTAATTGTGTAAAATATACACAAGATGCCATAACAAATAAATTGATGTAATCACAGTGGAAACTGAGGACTGTAAATGCTTCCACCCTCAGAATAATATGACACTGGAATTTTCCTAATTTTATTTCATTTGTTCCTATTAAAAATTTGAATTCAAACTGTGTTGTGTTGATTTAGCCAAAGTGAACAACTGGAATTAGGCCACACTCCTCATCATGAAACCTTTTTCAGTCAGTGTACAATATAGCCTAATTTGCTTTGCTTACAAAGAAAAACAAAAGACTAAAATGATTAAAAGACTTCAAGGATGTCCTTTTATCTCCTGAGCCACTCAACTATCTGAACTCAAATATACTTCTCTTTTCTTACATGAATGCACAGCAAAGACACTCAAAGTGCTAAAAATAGAAATCCCTTAAGAAATGCATAGTATTGTGAAAGATCCCCATGAACAAAAAATAGGTTATTTGCACGTGCAAACTATTTACCAGCTAGAGGTTGGCGGATCACAACACAGGAATGTGCAATGCTATGACTGCACAAATGCAAGAGTTATAGAATTAATAGAAAAACATCTCTCTTGCCAAGATTTACTGCTGCATCATCTAATGTCTATCTTCTCAAAATTGCACAACATAAACCAAGTTACAGACAAGAAAAAACAGTAAAGGAGAAGTAAATGCTGGGAAAACACACTGGATATGTAAAACTGAATGAATATGAAAAGAAATGAAATTCACTCCATTACAATCTATTAACTCATACTTACTCCTTCATTTCTTTAGATGGGGAATTACATGCAGGTAAGAATGCTGTGTTACTTATTTTATCCAAGGTACAGACTGTTCCTATGGCTCGTACTACTAGTCCAGATTCTCCCTCCAAATCAAAACACTGCAAGTAACCAACAACTGCATTCCCTCTCATTTCAAGTACCTTCAAGCCAATCTTCCTTTGAAGTTCACCTACAAAAAATAAACACAAGTTAACTGACATCTCACTTAGATATAGGGCAAATATGTTAAAGAGGATGTTTCTTATTCTCTTCTGTGGATCTGACCTTCTTCATTTTTGTAATAATTTCAGGATAGGTAAACTGGCTAATAGAGAACATCCCACATGATTATACCTAAACATAGCCACAACGTTCTCCTGCAAATTGAAGACTCTTAGTTCTGTGATCTTATTAGTAGTACATCTGGACCATTTACATTTAGAGCCTTCTAGAAAATGGGCAAGAGTAGAAATTGAAAACAAAGACTGTAAAATTATTTGACATTTCTTTTTTATTTTTTTCCCCCCAGTCATCTCTAGCTGCACTACTACTACCAAAAAGAAAAAAAGAAGAGGCCTGAGGAGGGTTTTTTTTGTTTGGCTGGTTTTTTAAGTGTTCATTAGGACCTTCATTTCTCTTTTGTGGGAAGGGATATGAGCAAGGCATCACAAGAGTTGGGTGTACTGGAGTTACTAGCTGCTCTGTAATACTGCAAATAATCCAGATATAGGTATGAAATGCATTGAGGCCTCAAACTTCCTTGAAATTCAGACAAATAAATGCATGGATAGACATCTTTAATTTCCTTTTTTCTTTTGCAAACTTCAAAAACATATAAAAGCATATATCAACCTAATGTCATGGTTTTTATTCCTTTTCAATTTCTACCTTAATGTACTTATATCACATACATGGACGCCACATTATGCAAAACATATTCTGACTATTTTTCTACTGTTCCTTTGGTATTAAAATGAAAAATCTTTACTGTACACAAGTCAAGAAACGGAGTTGAGTTTGCTGTAGGAACCTGAATTTGGCCATTTTGCAAGATTGCATTACAATAGCATTTCTCAGATGACCACACTATGCTGAAAACTGACATAATTAGCAAATAATATAGAACAATGGAAGAAAATTGTACATTTTTGCTTCCTTCACTAAGGTTGTAAATAAATTGAATTATGCAGTGTCAATATTTTTCCTGCACTTTTCTCTATAACTATAGGCGCACATGTTCTAATTTCTACTACCGCAGACATGGTATCTGATCAAATTGGTTGTAAGTGCATTTACCACTACGAAAAAAATGCAGGGAACATTTATCATCAATTGACTTTTTACATAAATAAAATTGCATCCCTAAGGTAATTTACATATTTATATTTATTAATAGTCTCAATCCAGTTCTTCATATGCAGGAATCAGCCTCACAAAACACACTACAATTGCTACCCTTTATTGCTACCTACATAGCAGAGATGCCAGGATCAAATGGGTATGGAGAGTGAATCTTCTGAAGTGATTTGTCCCACTAGAAAAAAGAAAAGGAGTTCTTGTGGCACCTTAGAGACTAACCAATTTATTAGAGCATAAGCTTTCGTGACTACAGCTCACTTCATCGGATGCATACAGTGGAAAATATAGTGGGGAGATATGTATGCATCCAATGAAGTGAGCTGTAGCTCACAAAAGCTTATGCTCTAATAAATTTGTTAGTCTCTAAGGTGCCACAAGTACTCCTTTTCTTTTTACGCATACAGACTAACACGGCTGCTACTCTGAAACTTGTCCCACTAGGGTCAGGGTTAAGTCATGAAGAAGAAGGCAATTCCTATACTGTAGTTGTTCTGTGGATATACTGACTACTTCAATCTCCAAGACTATCTGCCAAACAAAAAATGAAAGAAAAAATTTAAAGGAAAAAATGTAATCTAGGTATTAGTATTTAGTGGCTAGTATATCATTGTTTTATTTAAATTTCTCTCTCAATATGGTTAAGAGTACAATAAAAGTCTGTTAAATTTGAGATTACATCAGAATTTTAAGTTCATCACACATTTAATGCTTCAGAAAATGTACAAAAAACGTGTCTTTTATAAAACAACAAGCTACCTGCTATACAGTTAATAACATCTGATACTGATGGCACTACGGAACATTATGCATTACAGAATGCTACTATTATGGGCTGTTTTACACCACAGCCATGGCAAAGACCACCACTAAGCAAACAGTTTCGTCCTATGCTTTCACACCTCATTAGCGACATTTGAAGTTTTGAGAAGGACTTTCACTTGGTTGGGCAATCCAAAATGACCTTTGAAATTCCAACAATGTTAATAGTTGTTTTATGACGTAAATGGTCATCCCAGAGGAAATGAACTGAAATCATCAAACCAGCTCTAATCAGAAACTGGTCATGAGCCATATCCTAACAGGTGAAAGACTGATTTATTCACATATTCACTCACAACGTAGTTTAAATTTTAAAAAAGCAAATAGGACACATATGCAATTACAATTTGACCAACACTGACTAGATCCCCACTAAGTGCCTTTTCTATTCTAATGCTGCACACACTGCCTCTTTATATGTATCAATCACATCTACAAAAAACACTGCGCAGACATATATTAGTCTTATCGCAATATTATTTTTCTGATAGCTCAAAATGTGCTGTGCCCCTCACAAAACAAGTGAAGACATCACCCCTGTCCTGAAGAGAGTAAAATCTAAATTTAACATGACATAATAAGTGGCAAACAGAAAAATGAGGAGGCAAGACAAGGGTGACAGTAATTTAAAACAGCTATTTACCTAATAATAACAACCGTGGTTCTTAGAGATGTTATTGTCTGTGATATCCCAGGTTGGAGAAGGCTCTCTCACTGGTGGGTAGGTGTGCAGAAACCCAGTCAGAAGTTCAAAACCGTGGTGTTGGGGGAAAAATGCTGAGCATGACTGTACAAGAGGGTGGTATGCCAAGACTTTTGCAAGGTGAACTTTGATGGTACTGAATGAGAGTCCAGAGTTTATTAAATGCAGAATATAATCCAAGATTTTTGGTGGTTAGGTCTTCAATAGGTGCCCCAACTGCCATCTCATCCATCTGTTATTTTTTTTTGTAGAAGCGAGGTGGTGAAGGACATTCTTAGGGTCTACCCACTTGTTCAGTGCTGATAAGATGAGAGCTGGAACCACAACTCGCATGCTCATTTGACGTCTTGCAGGGTGAGATACTGACTTCAGCCAGCCTTGTAAGGAATGTCGGTTAAGTCTAACTAGTGGGATCATGTACAAGCAAGTTGATGTGTGGCCCAGAAGTCTGAGGCAATTTCTTACTGTAGTTGGATTTGATTTGATTATGGTGATCATCATCATCTAAAGGAGAGAGAAATCTATCCTTGGGAAAATATGCCTTCCATGAGTTGGCAGCAATTACAGCCCGTATAAAGTCTAAAATCTTTATTTTTCTTGTCTTCTATCCAAACTAAAAATCTCAGTCTGTCTCTCTGATATCTCCTCATAGATGTCTAATCAGCAGCTCAAGCTCAACATAACTGAAACAAAGCTCTTCATCTTCTGCCCCAAACCCTCCCCCCATCTACTTTTTCAACCACCATGGATATCATCACTTTGCCTGTCACTCACATCCATAACCTGGAAGTAGATGCCAAAGGGACTTGAATGACAGGAATGAGGACATCTCCTGGATTTCCCAAAAGGAGATCTCCAATGTTCCCAATGGTCCCAAAGTGGTATATTGGTAAAATTGGCTGACGTTGTATTGACCCGGCTATTGCCATGTTGGAGATGGATGTGCTGGAACTTTAAAATGACTCTGATCAGCAGAGATATCCTGTGTGATGTGAGGGGAAAAAGCTCCTTACCGGATGGAGGAGAAAGGGCATGTCCCAATAACAGAGATGAAGAATGGACATCATTGAGAGGCAGTGCCAACCTTTGAGGTGACCTCAGTACTGAGGTCAGAAATATGCACAAGTGCCAAGCGTGGAGACGTTGGTGCTGACAGCGGTGCCAGAGATGCGGTTAACTTCTCCAACCTAGAATCAGGAAGTATGCTAGGGATTCCATTGATAGTACCAATGTCAATGTTGTTACCAACATTTGCTGGTTATTGGCATTTTCAGGCATGGGTGTTGAATTTGGCCTATATATGCTGCTTCGGTACCAAACCAGAAAACTAGCAGGCATCACTTTCCCCTGTTTGGTGAGCGGGCTTAGTATTTTGTTCTCCTTATGGGAAGAAAGGAATCATAAGCCATGATTTTTCCACAATGGTCAAACCCCCCTTGCCAGGAGAAGAAGGTACCAAACTTTGGTGCCATGGTGGTAGCCAATACCAAGATGGTCTTCGATGCTGGGTCTTTGTCTGATAGTGTCAAGGATCTTCTGTCAATAACGACCTTGGGAGGTGCGTGCCAGTTGATAGGGCACAGGCTGACACAGGCTCAGCAGAGTCAGATCTTCTAGGAATAGGATCCTCTCTCTTTGGGTCTTCAGTTCCCCTCATGGATTGTTCAAGGAGGTATAGCTTTGAACAGGTGTTCCTGGGACTTCCTTTTCCTCACTGAGAATGACCAACAAACTGAGCAATATAGTCTGGCACATGGCTCCCACCAATGCAGAACTGAGAGTGGGCATGGCCATCGGTGACTGTCCCTGATAGAAGTCAATACATTACAACTAAAATAAAAATTAAATATACACATCCTCTCCCTTAATAATTAATAACTATAGACTTTAAAAAATAGCAGCAAATCAATATTACAGTTGAACTTATTTATTAATACCTGACATTAGTGAAATAAGTCTTTGTCTAGCCTCATTTGATGCCCTTGGTGTACGGATTCGGTCTATCCATTGGTATTCAGGGTCTTCATTAACGACCAGCTCTTCCACAAATCCATGAATTACTACAGCTCTATAACACTTTGGAATAGATGTGGCTGTTGAAAAGATACATAAATATGTAATATACAAGTCTAGAAACGAAGTATTTAAAGAGTATTTAAAAAGTTCTTTAAAAAAAATATGCCTAGATAGACATCTGAGTGATTCTCTTCACAACAGATTTTAGGGCATACTAAACAGTTTTACTAAGAATCTTACTGGTGCCTGCTGGAATTACTGCCTGATGTTGTACCCTTGTTTCAACATATACATTCATAAAGCTCTTTCACTAGTACAGATTTTACATAAAATATGCACACAAAGTAACATTACATTCACATATTCACAAACAGGCTTTGCTGCGAATGTAAAGTAACCAGAAAAAAATATCAGATGAATAAATGAATTTGAGATACTTTAAAGCAGTTGCTTAAAAAAAGAAATGGTCTGCTGCAGATGTTCTTATATAACCAAACAATAATGCAACTCAGAATTCAAATTGGACCTTTTGTTTTGCTACTGGCTTTAGTGTGATCTGGACTGGGCCTTGAAGGAGAGTTGAGGAATGGAGAAAGGGAACAGAAACTAGAAGAATAGAAAAGCAGCCTTGAAAAGAATGACACACACCTGTAGCTGCTCAAAACTCTATTTTTCATTAGTTCTAGTATACCACATAGACTTGTACCAAGGACTATCTGGGCCTTAAAATGCGTCTTGGGATTTCACAGGACTATTAGGCCCCAAATCAGTAAAACACTTAAGGCCTGTGCTCAGCTCACATTGGCTTAAGCTTTGCTGAACTGGGGCTTTATACAATAAATCAAATAAGGGCTCTGATCCAAAGATCATTGCAGATAATGAGTCTTCCACGCTCTCTTGATTTCAGCAGGATTTGGATCAAGCCATAAATCAGTTTGTTCATACATAAATGACCTGGAACTGGGCTAGTCAAAATCTGCTATAGTTCATTCTTATCAGAAAAGAAACATTTTAACAATTATGAAGATAAGAGGATGATGAAAACTACATCTTTTCACTGCTTCACTGCAAATACAGCATGATTCTTGTCACTACTGTGAATAAACACTTTATTGAAGAAAAACAACATCTTTTTCTGAGTGATGGAAGGAAAACAATGCACTTTGCATTTCCTCTCCTCAAGAAATGTTACCTCCAAAGAAGATACAAATAACAGAGCACAAGACTCAAACAACAACGATTAATCCATACTATTATCTAGAAGAGACACTTATTTTAATTTGGGAACCTTTAATTTCTCAGCTGTCCAATATTTTATATTCACAAATTAAAAAATAACTAAAAAAACCATTGCCACACAAGAGAACAATATACTGATTTATTTATTTACTCACTGCAAAAAAACTTGACTCCGCAGGATGACTGCCTAAAACGGTTTAAATCATTGAAGAGGTCTACTTTCACTACCACATTGATCTCCCCACGGATACCTGTCCATAAAAAAGGTGTGGTCGGTGAAATTTATATCAGAAAGAAGATACAGAAAGAATTAAATCTTCTCAACTATTTAATTTTTTTTACATTTTAATTATTAGTGTTAAAGCTAGGTATACTCCATAACGAATAATATCAATATATTTTTTCTTCAAAGAACTTGAAGCTAAATATTTCTGTTACAATATTTTCAGACCCCATATTAGAATTTTCCTCTCAAAAAAGGTCTCAAGACCATAACAGAATTACTCTCCGCAGTCCATTCTCATTAAGGTATCCAGTATTCATTTCAGATTTATAATACCAACTCACAATGGTGTACTGAAAATTAGTTAATGTTTTTGCAACACTTGAACAAGAGAAGAACTTCATAACCAAGAGGTATTATTTTGGCAATTCGTTTTTCAAACAAAGCTTAATTTTTTAGCCATAATTTAAATTTTTTAATAAAGCTACATTTCTTCAGTGTACAACCATCAGCTTTGATTTCTTTTCTCTTCGTACCTACAGTGCCTACTCCACCATCTTCAGCTGTTCCTCATTCTTATTACTTTTTCTTGACTAACAAAATAATTTTGTGCAATACCACTTCACATCACTATAGCTGTTCATGTGCTGAAGACATCACAGTACAAAAAAAGTGAATAAAAACACTAGATGTAAATGACGGAATGGGACCTTCTTGATATCGGGCGTCCTGACCCAATTCTCTCAGAAGTCACTATGTCTTCACTGGTACAGACAGAATGCCCAATTCAGTACAATAGCATCTTCATATATTTTTCTTCACATATTCACAATGACCACAAATCCAGAGATCAATTTGAACTCCATTAAATTTTCACTGTTATAATCTAACTCAGCCTTTGGTTTATTTTCCAACGTAAAGTCAGTGATATACTGCATATTAGACTTTTACATCAGTAATCTCCAAAACTAGTTCTTTTCATGTAACAAATGTTTGGAGGAGAACAATAATTAGCTGTAAATTGACAATCATGTAAAACTTTTTAATGTAGTAAAAAAAAAAACTCTACCGTCTATGCTTACATTCTGTTCCTAGAGTGGAATCCTGAAATCAATGGCAAAATTCCTATTAACTTCAATTTCATCCCAATTCTAAAATATTTTGAACAGATACATGTAGGACTAGAAAGACACTTTTTCTAGGGAAAAGGGAATTTCATCCTGTACTTTCTGTTGAAAATGTGTCACTTCCTCTCCCTTCATCCCAAATAAAGCTTGTCCAAACATACCAGAAGGAACACACAACAGATAGCCTTCTTAAAAATACATGTTTTCAGCAACAGCATGGTAATTGCAAAGGTACTGGTTTTGAGTTTTTTGTTTGTTTATTTAAAAGATTTAACTACCTTGGTGGTGACCATTTAAAGCATTGTCTGTCAATTTTTTCACTTTTCTGAAATTTCATGAAGGACATTCTGCCAGATGCTATCCTCCAATAATAAATTCCTGTGACATAATTTGAGATCTCTCAACTGTACTGTATAATTGTTATTGCAATAAAAAAAAGAAAAGTATCCTACAATGTACCATATATACTTGCTCATAAACCAAATATTTTTGGTAAAAAATGACGTATCAAAGAGCGGGGGTCAGCTTATAAACGGGTCTACACCAAAATTTGATGATTTTAAACTCTATGAAATCACTGAATTGAATATCTAATACACTGTCATTTTGTTTACCTGGACCGTCTGCAGGCATGGAGCTCCTCATTCCCTGTGGCTGCGGTTTGCCATTCCCAGCCAATGGGCAGAGACGGCTCTAGGTTTTCTGCCACGCCAAGCAAAGATTTTGGCTGCCACCCCTCCCTTTTTTTCGCATTCCCCCAGCCCCGCCCCATTCCAACCCCTTCCCCAGCTGGCCTCCTCCCCCGGGTGCGCTGCACTTCCCCTCCTACAACTGTTTCACGCGGCAAGCCTGGGAGGGAGTGGGGAGAAGCGGAGTGCTCAGGGGAACAGATGGAGTGGAGGTGAGCTAGCACAGGGAGGGCCTCAGGAAATAACCCTGGGGGGGGGCCCAGAAGAACCACTCCCCACCCCAACTCACCTCCATTCCACCGCCACCTCCTCCCGCGAGCGTGCCGCCGCTCTGCTTCTCCCCCCTCCCTCCCAGGCTCGCCACGCGAAACAGCTGTTTCACAGCAAGCCTCGGAGGGATGGAGGGAAGGAGGTGGGGAGAAGGGAAGCAGTGGCGGCACACTCAAGGGAGCAGGCAGAGGTGAAGCGGAGGTGAGCTAGGGCTGGGGGGCAGAGCGGGGAGTTGCCATTGGGTGCAGAGCACCCACGAAGTCAGCGCCTATAATGGCCGGTGCCGGCATGCCACCCCTGGAAATGTGCTGCCCCAAGCACGTGCTTGCTTTGCTGGTGCCTAGAGCCGGCCCTGCCAATGGGAGCTGCGGGAAGTGGTGCTACTCCTCGCAGCTCCCATTGGCTGGGAACTGCAAACCACGGCCACTGGAAGCTGAGGGGCTCCGTGCCTGCGAACGCTCCAGGTGAACAAAACGTCCCAACCTGCCAGCGGCTTACCCTGATGGGCCAGGAGCCGAAGTTTGCCAACCCCTGAAATATAGGGTCGGCTTACGAAAGGGTCATACAGTTTTAACCATTTTTACTTATCCATCTTGGGGGGAGGAGGGGGGTCGGCTTATAAACAAACCGGCTTATATATATATACACGGTATATATGATATACTGAGTATATACGGTAATTTTTCATTGGTTTTAAACAACATATTTACTTACCAGACTGTAAAGACTTAACAGGAGCTGTGTTTCAAATTATGTCAAAAGGAGCAGCACTTCAGGCAGCAATGCTAGGGTATTACAAACTTGCTGAAGACATCCTTAAAAAGAAGATATTCCACCTTTCAAAGAAACTATGTCTAAAACAATTTTCTTTTTTAAAAAGTCAGTAAGGCTTACCATGTATGGTATCATAAATTGGAAACCATCCTGAGATCACTGTAGCTGCCTCACTATAGAGCAAAGGATCAATATCAATGTACACTTTGCCAATGGCGTCATTAGCACTGTAGGTGTCATGATCTAGAACTGTGATCTGCAGGGGCTCATCTTGGAGGTCTTCATCATCTACCTAGAAACACATGTTAACATAAAACTTCAGTATATAATCAATACAAGGAAACTCTGCAGGAAAACAAAAGAATGAGAGTTTAGTTATATACAATAATATGTTTACACATAAAATTTGTAACTATTGTGTCTTGTATACAAACAATACACTCATGGATTCTTCTCTCCCCAAAGTGACCATATTACTAAAGGACATCAGAGCCACAGGAAGGCAAGGCATGAATCACACACACTTTAAAACTACCATTTAATCGTTTTTTATTCATGGTCTCCACACACACTCCCTTTACCCCAAAAAAATATTTTTGACAGGAAGCATCAAAAACGTAAATAAGAACTCTCATCCCTTCAACTACAACAGCTGTACTACACACCATGATAAAGATAAACACGTGTACTGATGTTCTGATTTTACCAAGCATTTTTGAACTGGTTAGTGGTAAATAAATAAAGGCTTTCTATGCATCCTACAGAAAAACTCAGTAAGCTGGACATAAAACTTTACTAATGTCTAAAGTAGTTATTGTTATTCGACTATTTGAAATGTGGAATCCTGCTATCATTTTTTCAATGCTGTTCTTTTGCATTTCTCTCCCAAATACACTTTCCCGTGCAAAAAGACAGAATTTAGAAACTTCTGCTATACAGAAAAAGTTTTCATTCCACTAAGCTTAGCCAATTCTTTCACACACCCCCAAAGAGGCAAATCCCCAAAATCAAAGTATAAAAGTGAAAGCTGAATTAAAGAATGTTTCCACTTCACATTACTACATCTTAGCAATCACCATGGAAAGCACTATTTGATCCCACTAATTTATATTTGTCTTAAATATTTATAACATTACCAACTACTCTCTCACTATATGCAAGTACAATACAGAGGCATTTATGTCGTGTTCTCTTCGAATGACATTCCCCAACACTACTTAACACGTAAGTATGTAACAGGGTAAGCCACCCATTTTTTAAACAGTTAAATAGCATCGGCTATGCCAGTCAAGTGTAATCATGTTTTCTCCTTTTATTTTGGCATTACTGAAATAACAAGAATGCAACACAAGTGATTTATTCAGAGCAGAACGTCAAAAGCCAACTATGATGCTGCTGTATTCAGCTTCAAGTAAACTGGTACAGTTCTGCGAGCTGATGAAGACTTACTGAAAAGCACTGAGTGCTCATAGCAACTTTTGAAGACAATGAGAGTTGACGGTGCTTGATAAATAGTAGGGGAAATATAGTGCTTTTTGCAATCAGGCCCTAACATTACAATGTTTTATAATTTTGTAACTTTTTAAAATGTGATGCCTGATAAAGAAATAATACAGAAGACAGAAAATTGCCTGCTTCTTTCACTATATATAACATTAGTAAATCTAACATATTCCAAAAGCAAACTCACTTTTCATATTCAAATTAAAATCTTCCTGTTTCTTGCATTTTTATTAACTATGTGGGTACTTGAAAGAAGCCTATTTAATTAGCATCTTACAATTTGTTTTCCTATTTCAACTTCACCCATTTCTAGAACTACAGTATCAACTGCATAATGCTTGGTTCAACTGGTAAAAACCCATGTAGCCAATCCTGCAAACCTGTATTTACACAACAACTCTCAATGAAGTCAGTGGGATAGTTCCTGCAAGTGATACTACCTTTCGAAGTGTTTGCAGGAGAGGTTTCTATATTACCAACTATTTTTACAATACCTTGACTCCCAAACGCACACATTTTATTTTGAGACCAGAATTATTTGACTAAAACTTTCTAAATCAAATATCCATATAAATATATATACACAGATGACATTTTATAAAAATACTTACCTCAAATTTAAACCATTCTGAGTTCCACTGAGGATTGAGGGATTTGGGGTACACATCTGTCTTAAATGTGGTATTTCCAAATTTTACCTAAAAATACAAGCAAACATTCAATGACAAATAAAAGAATATAATTTATTAGTACTTAGTCATTTATTTCCAAGTATACTGCTAGTTAGCTACTGTCACAGATCCACAGGATCAAGCTATATCCCAGCTTTTAAACAGTCTCTTGGAGGAATCCCTTTAGTGTGTCAGAGCCCCAAGGCACCTCACTCTTTCTTCACAGTAGGCCATGCAGCCTCACTGCCTCTGATACTGAGCCTTTGGGCTCCTGCGCTACTGCTTCACAGCATGAGCTCTTCCCAGATAGTCCAGTTTAGACGGACTCCTGGTTAAAAACCTGAATGCTCTTCAAGGACTAATGCACCTCTGGAAGTATTCACAATGGCACCACACAGCATTTCTAAAAACAGAGGAGGCTTTGTTACTCAACTGGAACACAACACTGGAAGTCCTTATGTTAGCACAGAGAAACAAAGGTTAAAAACATGGTGCATCTTCCCAAGCCAGAGCCATCCACCAGCCAAACTGTAGAGCAGGGGTGGCCAAACCGTGGCTCGCAAGCCACATGCAGCTCTTTTACTATTAAAGTGCAGCTTGCGGAGCTCCCCCTGTACCCCTCCCCCCATTCTCCATCTACCAGACTGGCGGGGGAAACTCAGGATCTCTGCCTTGCAGTGGGGTGGTGGGGTAGCGGCTTCTGCCCAGTGGGGAGGGGGTTCTCGGGGGTTCTGCCCAGCGGGGTGCACCTGCCAGGGTTCGAGGTTTCAGCAGGTGTGGGGCTGAAACTCCGAGCCCTGGAAGGTGTGCCCCAGCTCTCAAACTTCTGAAGATTATCATACGTTGCTCGAAGGGTCAGTAAATTTGGCCACCCCTGCTGTAGAGGATTCCGTCTTAGGCTCTTTTTCTCTCTGACTCTGTAGTTAGTCTCAGGTGACACCAGCCAGGTTCTCCCAGAAGCCAGCCCTTTACCCCCTGCCAAATTCTTTGCTCCTGAGTTGGGGTCTCTGCTCAGCGGAGGGAACCTCTTCCATCCTCTAGGTCATTGGTTGGTAGCTGTGAATGTACTGGTCACTGGAGCTTTCCATTGTCTCTTCTGAATTTTGCATTGATAAGGATCACTTTCAGCAGGTCTCAGCCAATTCCTTATATCAGTGGTTCTCAACCAGAGTACGTGTGCCCCTGGGGGTATGCAGGAGTCTTCTGGGGGGGGTATATTAACTCATCTACATATTTGCCTACTTTTACAACAGGCTACATAAAAAGCACTAGCGAAGTCAGCACAAACTAAAATTTCATACGACTTGTTTATACTGCTCTATATACTATACACTGAACTGTAAGTACAATATTTATATAAAAAGAAAAGGAGTACTTGTGGCACCTTAGAGACTAACAAATTTATTTGAGTATAAGCTTTCGTGAGCTACAGCTCACTTCATTGGACTACTGAATGCATCCGATGAAGTGAGCTGTAGCTCACGAAAGCTTATACTCAAATAAATTTGTTAGTCTCTAAGGTGCCACAAGTACTCCTTTTCTTTTTGCGAATACAGACTAACACGGCTGCTACACTGAAATTTGTCAATATTTATATAGCAATTGATTTTATAATTATATGGTTAAAATTAGAAAGTAAGCAATTTTTCATTAATAGTGTGCTGTGACACTTGAATTTTTATGTCTGATTTTGTAAGCAAGTAGTTTTCAAGTGAGGTGAAACTTGGGGGTACACAAGGCCAATCAGACTCCTGAAAGTGGTACAGTCATCTTGAAAGATTGAGAACCACTGCCTTAAATGACTCCTTCACTGTGGCCCAGAGAGCAAGGCAACACCTACACCTCATTTCCTGTGCTGCCCCACAGCAGAATTAACCCTTCCCCCCACCTCCCCCCCCCCGGATAGGAATGCAAAGTAAAGAGGGAACTGGGGTACACATAGGTGTCAAAAAAGATTATGAAAAATCCCCACTTCATCACATCTATATTAAATCTAAGCAAAGTGTATGCAATTTGTTTCAGATATATACTTCAGAATCACAGAATCTTTTTCCAGCTTCATGATTCAATTAACATGGATCACTAAGTGACTTGTTTACTTACTCCAATGGTCACACTTCTAATAAATTTCTCTCTGTCTCTACTATAACAGCTGATGTTTCTTTTCTCCTCTCCCACTCTATGTGTTCTCTTCATGATCACTTTATAATTCAATTTAAGCTACCACTCAAACCAGACAGCTGGTCCCTTGAAAGAAATCAGACTCAGAATTCATGTTCCAATCCATGTGCACCCTATTTTAGTGTAATGAGGGCAGGGCTTCCCCAGGGAGAGATAAATGAGAGACAGAGCCAAGGTAACAGAGAGTTCAGAATCCAGATAATAAAGATCTCAGAAGAACAGAGCTTCAAGAAGAAAATGCCCCAGACAGAGGAAGCAGTAAGAGTTCCCTAGTGAGCAGTGGAGCCAGATAAGGCTAGTGAAAGCAGAAGGCAATTAGAGGATCATCTACAAATTGCCCCAAACCACAGAGCCAAGGCTCGAGAGGGCTGAAGGCTATGAGGAACAGAGGGAGATGCCTGCTGACTCTCTGAGCCCGAGAACTGAAGTTGGAGGGGCAGAGAGGACTGAAGTCTGGGGAATGATGGAACTAGGTCCATGGTTTTTAGCTCAAAGCACGATTGTGTCAACACATCAGCACAGTGCCAGCTGGCTGTATACCTCACAGGGCCTTCACCATCATGGCGGAGGCCGCCTTACCCGCCACCTGTGGACTACGCAGGGCCACATGCTGCCACGAGCTGCACAAGCAGCCTGGCCCCAGAGGTGGTGGTGGCGGCTGCTGCTGCGCTGCCTCCTTCCCTTCACTTAGGATTGCCACCTTTTCCACAGATCAAAAACCCCAGACAACAGCGCTTGTCAAATGGCATCTGGACACACAAGACGAAACCTGGACTGTCCGGGTGAAAACTGGATGGGTGGCAACCCTTCACTGGCCATAACCAGGGTGGATAAAAATCAAAGATTTTTTTTAAATCAAAAAAATATGATTTTTTTATTTAAATCAGACTTTTTTGATAAGATGTTTTTGAGGAAAAAACCTATCTAAAGATAGTTTTAATTAAGATACATTATAGCTCAAAGATATCTTAGGGATTATACATTCTAATTCTCTAGTATGAGACAATATATTCATGTAATGTTTAAGAAAAGTTTTATAAATGAGTCCCAAGAGTTCATGGATTAGGGACACAATTTTATGAGGTTCCAGGGGTTTCTGTATAGATTATTTAGGTTAATCTTTCTATCTACCCAATGGGGCTCAGTCTAGAACAGTGGTTCTCAAATTCAGGGCCAAACCTGCGGTCGCGGCAGATAAACAAACAGGCCCAGCCCGCCAGGGGCTTTCCCTGAACAAGCGACACCACTAGTTTGAGAACCACTGCTCTAAAAGATACCATCAGAGATACTTAGTTTTGCAGTTCTCAAAGTGTGGATTTGTGTCTCCAAAGATAATATGCTTGTTAACAGCAAAAATGTTTTAAATAAATAAATTCATACATACATAGATGTGAGAAATAACAGACCTTAACCCTATTGTCCCTCTGCAAATCTGTGTACACAAGAGTCAATTCCTTACCTCTCTCTAAAAAGACAGGCATGTGTGCAAAATGCAAACAGTGCAACAAAGAAATGCAAGGCCTGATTGCCCGAATGAAACAACATCATGAGAAGTGTTCCTTCTCAGGAGGAAGCTGCATTGAAGATGATGAAAGGAATATGTCTGAACATACAGGATCTTCAGGTTAGTAAACTTTTTTATTTCATACTTCTTTCTTACAAACTTCCTGTCTTCCTTCTAAACTATTCTTGAATTCTCATGTTTGAGCAAAAAATATAGTTGTTACTCTATGGTAATATCATTTTAGATGCAGTTGTGATAAAAAAATAAATAGCTGAAATAGGCAGATCTTCCTTTTACAATTTCACCTTTAAAGTAGTACTGAGTGTCAGTGAATGCAATGAGTAATACTAAATGAGCAGTATGGTAATAATAATTAAATAACTGCATTGACTTATTTTGTTTAGGAGAATCCATCCTCAGAATACAGGATTCTGAAGACTATCCACCTTCAAGATCACCATCATTTTCTATAGTTTCAGAGTTATCTGCCAATGATAGTGTTTCAGTCACATCATGTATGTCACATAGCCACAGTTTATCACTTATAGCAAACAGAAAAAAAAATCTCCATCATCCAGGAACAACCATAGATAAGTTTGTGATAAGAACCAGCAGATTACACTGGAAAAGAGACACTTGATGAAAAAAATGCCCCGTTTGTTTATGCAACAAACTCTCCTTTCCGTATGATTGAGAACCCACACTTAATTAACACAGTTCAGTCATTAAAACCAGGATACAGTCCACCCAACAGAGCAGATGTCACCGGCAAATTGCTAGATAAAGTGTATGAAAGAGAAATTGAGCTGTGTGCAAAAGGTCTAGAGGGTGAAATTGTTAACCTGAGTCTTGATGAATGGAGCAATGTCCACAAAGATCTTGTTGGATGTGCTTGTGTGACAACAGAAGAGGGGAATGTCTTCCTTACAGAAACAATTGATACATCAGGAAATGCACACACAGCAGAATACTTACAAGAAGTAGCAGTAAAAGCTACAACAAACTATGAAAAAAAATTAAAATGTCTAGTACGCAGCCAGGTCACAGACAATGCTGCAAATGTATCAAGGATGAGAAAAAATTTAGAAGAGAGTCCCAAACTAACAACTTATGGTTGCAGTGCTCATTTGATGCACCTCCTAGCCAAAGACTTCAGTGTTCCAGAAATAATAATGTTCTCAACATTGGGCTTCAGAGAAATGTTGAACACATGCCAAGTACCCTGAAGCCTATTTCTGTAGCCCTGAACAAAATGCAGGGAAATAGCTCTTTTATTGCTGACCCTGTTGAAATTTGGAAGGAACTGAGTAAGATCTTAAAAAGAGAAATACGCAATGACAGA